TGGATGGGTGGGTGGGTGGCTCAGTGAAGGGCTTGACTTTCGTTACCTTCTGCGACTCTCCATAAGGTTAATAGCAATAAAACCCGAACAAGAGGGCCTGTCCCATTGCACAGCTGCTCCATATGCGGTGTTGCCTGAGCACCAGAATGCCCCAGGTGTGGGGAAATGGGACCATGGGAACTACGCATGGAGAGGGATCAACAGTCTCCCGCACTCGCTCGCTCGTTCATTCACTCTGCAGCTGCCGCAAGAGGGAGGCAGGGAGAGTCAGTCCTGGGACTGGATGCACAGGGCGGGGGCAGCGGCACAGGAGGGCCGAGGTCCAGCTGCTGGCCCCTTGGCCTCCCAACACTTGTGGATGGTCTCCCCGCAGCCTGGGATCCCTGACAGCCCAGGCGCCCTTGGGGCACCAGAGATGGAGCGACCTCCGAGGTGTCATGACCCAGAGGGTGGGGCCGAGGTCACCCAGGGCAACGGGACAGGCCTGTGTCCTCCCCTCCCCACCTGGCACCCCTGCCTGGCCTTACCTCCACTTGGGCATCCTCCCAGGCGTCCAGGCGGACGGACTTCACCTTGCTGACCTGAGGGATGTTTCGGTGAATTCCAGAGCAGCTCAGACAGATGAACACCCCTAGGGTGTATGAGGCCCAGTCAGGATCTGGAAGACAAGGCCAGACGTTCATGGGGTGCTGACCCCGAGGATCCCCCAGAGGGGACAGAACACTGGACCAGGGCCCACAGGGCTGGAAGGCCCCCTCCCTTTCTGGCCTTGGTCTCGTCTGTGCAATGGGAGGCCGGCCCGGAGACCAGGTTCACAGGCTCTGGGGGCCCAGAGTGGGGGTCCCTGACCCCCGCACAGAGGAGCAGCCCCACCCCATCATCCTAGCTGCTCCCGGGGACTGAGGGGACCCTGAGTGACCACAGTAGTGCGGGAGACACTGGGGCGACGTGCTGATGAGAACCCATGATCAGCACCCATCCGGCAGGCGTGACCAGGGCACGCCAACACGTGTCACGTCCTGCAGTTGAGGCAACAGAAAAAGCAGAATGTGGCTCGGGCGGGGCTGGGGAGGCCCAATCGTGTCCACACTTCGAGAGGTTTGAAATTTTTCAACTGGACCGCGGCACCGTAGACAGTGAAGGACGTGATGCTTGTTCAGCTGGGCGGAGGGTAAGTGGGTGCTGGCGCCCGAGCCCCCAGTGCATCCCCATCTGTGCGTCCACGTGGTAACTGCGTGAGCAGCTGGGCCGCGGAAAGGGGTCCTACGGAGGAGGCTTTCTCTGGAGAGGACGGGTCGTCCAGTAAAGGCTTCTCGTCTCTCAGGGAAGCTTCTGGATCGGACTGGTCTAAATCAAGATGCCCAGTGGCTCCCAGCCGAGGGCCACCAGCTTGAGCAGGCTTCCCTGTGAGCCCTTAGGGGGCTGGTCTGTACCCAGCCCCTAAACTAACAAACACCCCCCACGCCCGTGTGAGAGCACAGCACTGAGCCCACCCTGCGGTCACTGCCACCCGAGGGGCCTGGGAGCCCACAGACCCGGGGGTCACTGGGATCAGCACGTGGATGCCCCAGCCCCAGGTCAGGAGGACACTTTCTTCTGTGATAAGACAAGGCTGAGGGACTTCCCTGGTGGTCCAGTGGTAAAGAATCTGCCTTACAATGCAGGGGACGCGGGTTCGATCCCTGGTCAGGGAACTAAGATCGCACGTGCCGCAGCTACAGAGCCCACGCACCCTGGAGCCTGTGCACCACACCTAGAGAAGAGAAAACCTGCGTGCCGCAACTAAGACCGGACTCAGCCAAAAATAAATTAAAAAAAAAAAAAGAAAGACAAGGCTGGGAGGTGGCTGTACCCATGGGGGGGCCGGCCCAGGCCTCCAACCCTACTGAGGACACAGCCCTGCACCTCCCTTTAGGGACCCCCCCAAGAATCCACCCTGGTGCCAGAGGGTCAGAGCCCTCCTCAGAGACCAAACACCAGCCACAGGCCCACACAGCATGCGTGTGTGTGTGGTTGGGGCGGGGGGATCCGTAGGGGTGGCAGGCACCTCTGGTTCCTGGGTCAAGACCCCTCCAGCCCAGGGCCCTGGGCCCCAGACACACCTCCCTGCCTGCATGGAATGAAGGGTCAGCTCGCAGACACAGGGGCCCAGGCGGCTGGCGGGATGGGCAGGCGAGCTCGGGGGAAGGAAAAGCCCCGTTCTGGCACTCACGGCCCAGCTCACAGCCATCCAGTCCCGAGGCCGCACGGGGTGTGACCGCCCTAGGGTCTTGCGGAAGAAACTGGAAGCCAGGGAGGTAGGTCTCCGGCCCGCAACACACAGTCTAGGTGGCACGTGGAACAGAGGAGCTTCAGGAGTCAAAAGGCCGTGTCATCCCGAGGGCCCCTGCCTCAGACTCTCGGCAGACTCTCCACGGGGCGCTGCAGGCACCAGCGAGCCCGGCCTCCTAATGAGGGGTGCTGGCCGCTCACGGGGTCGGGGGCTCGGCTGCAGCTGGGCGGCGGGGGAGGGGCTGCCCCGCCCAGGGACGCAGAGGCAGGCGCTCCGAGGCCTCCGGGGGGGCCCCTGCCCTGCCTCCCCCCTGCATGGGGCTGGCTGACAGCGGTGGCTCCCAACCGGGGCCAGCACGGGTCGGGGCAGCCCAGAGACCCGGGGGTCTCAGGCCTCACCCCAGCTCAGAAGGGCTGTGAGCGGAGGGGCCCCTCCATCCTCCCGACTCCCAGCCTCGCGCCCTGCTGCCCTGCGTCCCCCCGGCCAAGCCTCTGCCCGCTGGGCACACAGACGCTCATCACGTCAACTCGCTGGGTGGGGCCTTGGGGACCTCTCCCCCGCCCCAGCTCACACGTCCCCCCCGGGCCTCCCCAACCACGGCCGGGCCCCATGCACCCCTCGCGACGCCTCTCACTCCCCGGGGTCGGCCCGTCCTGGCACTTAGGTCCCTGTCCACCACGGGCTGTCTCGGCCCCCGGAACGTCCGTGGGTGGGGGGGCCTGCAAGCTCCCTCCTGCTGCCCCAGGGTGACCGCTGCGGGGATGCCAGGGAGAGGCCACCACCCCGCTGCCCTGAATGTGACCCGGGGAGATACTCTGGTGGCAAGGGCTTGGCAGTGGCCACAAGCCGGGCCCCCGATGTACTGGGGCGCACGGGTGTGTGAGGACCCTGGTGGGTGGGCACGGGGGGCTTGGGTAGGGAGGAGGCCGCATGCCCCAGCTCTGAGCCTCTGGGGAGTGGGGGGAAGGAAATACGGGGGGCCAGGGAGCACCAGAAGACCTCCAACCCAAGGGCTCTTGGACAGAAGACCCCCACTCATGACCAGCTTTCACTAGCTCGTGGGGCGGCGGAAAACGTGCGTCTGCAGGAGCCGACGCGCTACGTCAGCCCTTCATCTTTAGGACGTGCTTCCCCACGTGTCACTTTCAAGAAACCACTTGGCTGCTGCAAAGAGGACCCAGGAGAGCACCCACCCGGGGTCCCCCCGCCAGGCCCCAGCCCAGCCCGCCCCGCGGCCCACCCAGTGCAGCCTCGATCCCCCACCCCCCACCGGGTCCAGCAGCAGTGCCCCCTCTGCGGAAGTGAGGAAATCCAGACGGAAAGCTAGCATGTCCGAGAGCAAGTGGACGGAGAAGACAGGCACCCGGGGCCCGAGCGGGGTGGCCGCTGCATGTCCCGTGGTGCAGGAACCCACTTGCAATGGGGACGGGGACAGGACCTCTAGAAAACTGAACTGGGGCAGGGGGAGGGGCTGTGGCACCCCTGCCCGAGCTCCCGGCACCCAGCCGCTCACCGGGACCCCGGAGGACTCCCGGCTTGAACCCCGCGGCCGTGTCACACCCGCCTGCCAAACGCCAGGTGCCCCCCTCCGCCATTCCGGGCTGTGCGTCCCGAGGCCACTGACAGCACAGCTCTGGGCACAGAGGTTCCCTGCCCGGCGGCCACCACAGCCCGGCCGGTCCAGCCGCACCGCTCGTCCTGGGGGTTCCAGGGGCTGCTCCAGCTCGGCCCACCCTGGCCCGGCCCCCAGCACCTGCTGGCTCACCAGCGTCTGCCCCTCCGCGGGGTCACGGCGCCGACACTTGCCGGCCTCGCCTGCAGCTCGGCGTGGCCGCGGGACCCGAGTCTGGCCAGTGAAGCGCGAGCAGGGGGACCCACGTGCCCCCAGGCCCAGCCGACAGCCA